AAAAAAAAAAAAAAAAAAAAAAAAAAAAAAAAAAAAAAAAAAAAAAAAAAAAAAGGCTGCAGCGTGTGTGAGGAATGATCAGCGAGAAGTGAAAAAGCCCTGGAGAAAGCCACTCCCGCGGGAGGAGCCGCGGAGGGGCTGCCGCGGCTCGTCGGGGCGGAGAAGCTATCGCGAGCGCGCGCGCTGGGTAGTGAGTGGGGAGTCGGGTCCGCACGCCGCGTAGCTGAAGGCAGAGTCGGTGAAAGTGTACCCCACGGTGACACACACACACACACAAACCAAGCTCCAGTGGATGACCTTGTCACCCGCTGAGCTGACGGCACCTACTCGGTGTCAGGCCCTGGCGTCCCCTTCGCCCATCTCCTTCGGTCCTGGCTGCCCTCCCCATCCTGAATCTCACACCCGGGCTTCGCGGCATCCCAGACAGCAGACAACTTTACTGAGCCGGTTCCGAGCCTCAGTTCCAGGTCTGTGCCTGAGCTCAGGCTCCGGGTAACACCCCCATCTCGGGACTAATCCTGCTGCTGGCCAATCCGTGGGCTGGTGGCCTGCCCTTCCCTTATTTACATTCCACTTCATTTCTGTGTCTTCCGCGCCAGTCCCTTCTCCCGGAAGTTATTAAACCCGAGGCGGAACCGGAAGCCCCTTCAAGTGTTGGTGCCACGTCCGTTGCTGTGTTACCGAGTCCCGGAGTGGGACCCTGGAGGGCACGATGGCTGATTGGACTCGCGGTGAGCGCATCCGAGGGTAGTAGGGATAGGAGGCGAGGTCCGGAGCCGGAGGCATCGCTCAACTCTCGGTGGAGGGACCTGCATGGGGTGGCGCTTACGTATTCCGGGAAAAACAGGTCTAGACTGCGGCTGGCGCTGCTTTGGGACCCAAGCCTGAGCATGACATCGGTTTTGTGTGTGATGGTACTAGGGGCTGGGAACGGAGGGTCCAAATAGGGTTTTACTGATGAGGGGACCGAGTGCCTCCCTTCACCTCTCGGTGCCTGTGTTCTGTATGCCAGGTGTGATGCCTGGGCCACAGTAATGACTATGCAGTGATTGACAGGACACAGAAGTCCTTTCTATTAAAGTCTGGTCTCATGTGTTTGCTAGTGCTGCTAGCCTTTCCCATAGGTAGGTTACATTGCGGCTGATTTTTATGCTTCAGACCGGTGTCAGTAGCAGTTGGGAGGTGATTCTCACACACCGTGATCGGCATTCTTCATGTCTAGCTCCCGTCCATCGGAGTCAGGTTTCCACAGGCACAGCGCTCTGGAAAGGTCCCGTATGGGTTGCAGAAATGAGCTCCGTAGCTTCTCCAGTGAGAGACCTTTCTTACACTTTTCCTGAACCTGATCCGCGGGTCATCTCCACACAGCCTTCCTGTGACCTGTTTCGGTGTTCTGTCCCGTACCAGAGTTTACTCTTTTCCTTTGTGGCCAGTCCCACACCCCCACAGATAGTGATTCAGCTAAGGCAATGCTCATTCATGTTCAGAAACAGTTTACAGCAGGGTAGTGTAGATCGAGCCTTCTGGGTCCTCTGCCTGTCCTTGCTAGGCCATGCACACAGGACATATGCTCACATGAACCATGCTACATGCCTGACAGATAGATGGTCCACCTGTTGGAACTCAGGGTGGAACCTGCTAAGTTAGCAGACATGGGCTGAATCTCTTTAGAGGTTTCACTAGGCCATACTCCACTGCAGCAAGGAGTCAGGGGCCACACTCGTGAGTGAATACTACCCTTGAGTCTCTCTTTTTGCAGCTCAGAGTTCTGGTGCTGTGGAGGAGATTCTAGACCGAGAGAACAAGCGGATGGCCGACAGCCTGGCTTCCAAGGTTACCAGGCTCAAATCGGTCAGTGATGGTCCTTTCCCTTCTGTATGGTACCTTGGTGAGTGGGGCTAAGAGGGTAGGAAGGCGGCCATGTGTTGTCTGTGGATACGCTGACGTGAGTGGTGCCTCAGGTAATACCTTGACCTTTGTAGCCTTTTCTGGTGATAGGTTCCTAGCAGGGTTGTGGGTCAAGTCTAACTGGTCTGAAGGATCTGACTGTGCCCTCTCTATATCCCAACCAGCTGGCCTTGGACATCGACAGGGACACCGAAGACCAGAACCGATACCTAGACGGCATGGTAAGCACCTGCAGTTCATACAGTGGCAGTCAGCTATGCCCCCATGCTGTCTGCTCTCTGTCTCTTCCCTTCGATGCTGGTGTGGTTGGGTAGTCAAGGGTCCCACCTCCGTGTGATCCTGTTGGGTCCCTCCTGTAGGACTCAGATTTCACGAGTGTGACTGGCCTGCTCACGGGGAGTGTGAAGCGCTTTTCCACAATGGCAAGGTCTGGGCGAGACAACCGGAAGCTTCTGTGCGGTATGGCCGTGGTCTTAATCGTGGCCTTCTTCATCCTCTCCTACCTCTTGTCGAGGACAAGGACGTGAACCAATGGAAGCCAAGGACAGCCAGGCTCCCCTACCCAGGTGTCCTGGTGTCCTGAAAACCTGACTACGAAATAGATCCCCTTGAAAGTATCATCATGGGTCATTCATCTTCCCAAGACGGGACGACTGCAGCCGCCTCTGTCATAATGAGCTCATGCTGGCTTGTCCTGTGTATGAAGGAGGAAGAAAAAAGGCAAAACCCAACCCTTCTCCCTGGTGCTGGAGTCACTGTTAGAGCCAAAGCCACGCTGTCTAAGAGTGAGCCAAGTCTGAACAAAGCATCTATGAGTCCTGAATGTGCCCACTGTGATCAACAGCCTCAGAAGCCAATATCTAAGGGTCTTCTGTCTATGCCTGGTTAAGACCGTGTCTGTGTTCTTGAAACGTCTGGAGCTGACATCGAAAGGGGATCTGTCCGTGAGCCCCCTTCAGATTAATGTTCGTCAGGATGAATATGGCAGAAACTCCAGGCTGAGGCTGCTGATCCGGAACAGACCTGTGCAGGCCAAGAGTCAAAGCCATCCCCATGAGCCGTCAGCTGAAGGCAGACCCCAGGGAAGAGGCAAAGGTGTGGATAGAGGAGTGGACTGCGGCCCTTGTTATCGGCTGTGGACCTTCTGGGCCACGAGACCGTGTGTCCAGGAGCAGAGATGTGTGTCCTTGGGATTGAGAATCTTCTCAGTGCCAAAGATGTCGCCATCCCCAGGCAAACAGACTGAGAAATAGCATAGTGTGGACTTTCTAAGTCCGGCAGTGCTGAGTGATGTTTCTGCCGGGATCCTTATGAAGCTGAAGGCCACCTATGGGAGAATTTGTAGCAGGAACCTCTGACCTTGTACTAAACCTGTGCCCTACCCTGTTCAGCCTGTCTCCCTTGGTGTAGGAGGAAGCTTGAGCCACCTCCTTGTTGCATAACTCCACAGACTTGCACCTCCCTCCTTGGTCAGTCCCATTTGCACACAGCCTGACCTGTGGAGCTGGCAGGGCCAATGGTTTATGAGAGCCCAGCACTTTCTGTCTTCACATAAAATGCCTTTAAGAAATGAACCATGAAGTTCTGTGCCCTTCTCTGACCTTACTCATGTCTGTGTCTTCATCTCTCTGTCTCTCTCTCCCTGGCCCACTCACTGCCCTCCCATGTGGTCGTACCATTACCTCTGTCCACGTTCTGCCGCAGCTTGGCCTCTTGCCTGTAGCAATGCCTTGCTGTTGGTGTGCTGAGGATGCACTAGGCACCGCCCCTTCTTCCTTTGCTGAGCAGCCTCTCTCTGCACACATTAACGTTAGGCTTGTTTGACTCTCCCATTGTGTCTGCCTGAGCCTGCCTTCTAAACCTGGAGAAGGGCCTAGCCTGGCCCACCCTTTGTTTTGGCTCCTCCCCCTACCAGGTACAGCCTGCTCCACACTGCTGCTCTGCAGCTTTGCTGTTTGCCCCACACACTTCCAGCTTGTGCCTCATTCCTAGGCCTCCCAGGGCAGGCACCCTGTCATTGTCTCCCAGCATCCCGCGGGCCAGGGCTGTGCTCTGCCTGCCACTTGTCAGCAAGCATGTTAACAGCTGCCTGCATCCTTCCATCTCGACTCACAGTGGACATGTTCATGCTTCTTCCGCTTTGTCTCCCTGGAGCCATGGACTGCTGCCTTCTACTCAGAATGTTGGGAAACCGTTAAACCCCAGGGCCCTTCGTTGTTTAGTTGTTGTGGGAGAGTGGCTTGCTCTGCATCCCAGGCTGCTCTTAAACTGTGTAGCCTAGGCTGGTCTCCAACCCATAATCCCCTGGCCTCAGCCTCCTGAACGATGGCATTACGGGCATGCGCATTCACACCTAGCTTCCTGTGACACTTGGGACAGCCAGCACCTGCTCATCCTGCTGGCGCAAACTGAGTCTGAGTCTCTGCGTTTGGGGTTAGTGTCCTCTGGAGCAGCATCTTGCTGTCCTCTGTGAGAGACGCACCCCACCCAGCGTGGCTAGTTTTCTCCCCAGGCCTCCATCCTGCTCCACCAGTCTCCATGGCCGTTTGTGGCTCTCCAGCTCCACTGG